TGAGCTCCTTCAACTTTTGTTCATCTAGAAATGTCTTCATTTCTCTTTCATTCTTGAATGATGGATTTGCCACATAGAATTTTTGGTTGCTAGTTTTGTTTTGTTTTGTTTTTTTTCCTTTAGAATTTTAAATGTTATCCCATTACTTTTTGGCCCCCAGGTTTTCTGATGAGAAATCAGTTGTTAATCTTATTGAAGATCCCTTCTTTGTGTTATCTGCTTCTCTCTTGGTGCTTTTAAAATTTTCTCTTTGCCTTTGGGTTTTAGCAGTACGACTATAATTTGTCTCAGTGCATATCTCCGTGAGTTTATTCTGCTTGAAGTTTGTTGAGCTTCTTGGTTGTGTACATTCATGTCTTTCATCATATTTGAGACATTTTTAGCCTTTATTTCTTAAACAGTTTTTTCTGCCCCTCTGTTTTTCTCTTCTCCTTCTGGGACTCTTATGGTACGTGTGTATGTGTTTACATTTGATAATGTCCCATAGGTTACTCAGGGACTGCTCTTTGTTATTCTTTCTCTCTCTCTCTCTCTCTTTTTTTTTTTTTTTTTTTTTTTTTTTTTTTTGAGGGCACAAGTGAGGAAGGGACAGAGAGGGAGAATGAGAGAAAGGGAGAGAATCCCATGGAACCTGAAGCAGAGCTCAAGCTCCTCTGAAGTGGGGCTTGAGCTCACCCAAGGCAGGCCTCGAACTCAAGAACTATGAGATCATGGACTGAGGTACCCAGGGACTTGTCTTCTTTTCTTTTTTAAGTTCATTTATTTTTGAAAGAGAGAGAGCATGAGTGAGCACACATGGGCAGAGAGAAAGGGAGAGAAAGAATCCCAAGCAGGCTCCATGCTGTCAGTGTGGAGCTGGATGCGGGGCTCAATCCCATGAACCATGAGATCACAACCTGAACCAAAACCAAGAGTTGAATGCTCAACTGACTAAGCCACCCAAGCACCCCAACACTGGATAATTTCAGTTGTCTTATCTTCCCTTCCCATTTGTTCATTCTTTCTTCTGGTTGCCATAATCTGATGTTGAACTCCACTGTGAAACTTTTCATTTTAGTTATACAAATTTTCAGCTCCAGAATTTGTTTGGTTCTTTTTTATAATACTTTTTCCTTATTAATATTCTTATTTTGTTCATACATTCCCCACCCCACCCCCATTTCTTTGTGGTTTCCTTTAGCTTCTTGGGTATATTTAAGACAGTTAATTTAACATCTTTGAGTAGTAATTCCACTTTCTGGACTTTCTGTGGTATGTTTGTTACCAGATCCTCTCTTTTCTTAAATGGCTCTTTCTTTGTGTGTATTGTAATTTTTTGTTGAGAGCTGGACATTTTGATTATTGTAATGTAATTCTATAAATCTGTTACTCTTCAATGATTGCTGATTTTGCTTGTTGAGTGGTAGAGTCATCCAGTTATGATATTTCTAAACTATTTTGCTAAGTGTATAATCCTTTTTGTGTGTGGTCACAAATTTATGTTCTTATTATGTCTGCAGTCAGTTGGTAGCCTGACAAAGATGTATTCCTTAAATATCTAGCTCAAAAACAGGGACAAAGACAGTTTAATCTGTTTTAATGTTCCAGTGGACACCACCAGTAAAAGGTACTGCATACTGCAAGATGATTGAAACTGATACAGGTGTCTGTGCTGGTTCCTCAGGGTTCTGTCAGTCCAACCAAAATTCATGACCCCATATTTTAGAAGGCCATGATCCCAGCTATTCCTCCTGACACCAGTCAATCACTTCAGAATGATGGGCTCCTAATCCTCATTACTTTGGGAGGGAGGGGCTGAGAAATTGAGGGAAGGTGGTTGGTTTACCCATGCTGTTCACTTAGGAAAGATCAGCACCCTCTTCCTTCATGTACTTCCCTGTTTGTTACAAGTGTTTGATAAGGTTCTAAAGTAGTTGATTACAATTGCTCTTTCTAGCTCAGTTTTTACTTTGAGGAGGTACTGACCTCTGGGTCTTCCCCTTCCTCCATTTTGCAACAGTGATGCTTTTGAAGTGCAAATCTAATTTAAATTTGTTTTAAATTTGATTAAGGCCAATTTATTTTTTTAAATGTTTATTTATTTTGAGAGAGGGGGAGAGCATGAGCAGTGGAGACAGAGAGAGAGAGGAAGACAGAATTCCAAGCAGGCTCTGCGCCGACAGCACAGACATGGGACTTGATCTCATGAACCATGAACTCATGACCTGAATCAGAAATCAACAGTCAGACAACTAAGCCACCCAGGTTCCCCTGTTTTTATTTTATGTATAATGACTTTGTCATATTCAGTAATTTTTTGCATAAACCATGGTGACAAAGATTTTCTCCTGTTCTTTAGCATGGCTGTATGACAAACTTTTGGAGTGTAGGCAGGCCACATAAGGGCTGGTAGGGGGAGCATAGCATGGCTTGGTGAGAACTGGCCAGGGAGTACAGGTGAGTTGTGTGGGGCTTACCAAGGGAATTGGTATATCACTGCCCCCAGGAAGTCTTTGGGGTGCTAGTTTACACATTAAGAAAGCTGCGGGAAAGCCATTTTCAGGCTGAGTTTGTCAATGCCGTAGGTTTGCTGAGGGACTACATGTTCTGGGCACATGACTGAGCAGAGTTCTCCTGGATGTCCTCACACCCATAGCACTGACCTACTCTGCAGCAGCTGGAAACCATAAGAGAGCCTCTTTCTCATGCAGCATCTCTTCAGTGCCCTCTATCAAGAACACTTAACAGTTTCACGTTTATTTTGAAGGAGAAATGCTCATTCAAATTCAGTCTGTTACTACACATGAGATGTCAAATATTTAAATTTTTTTTTAACATTTATTCGTTTTTTGATAGAGACAGAGCGTGAGTGGGGGAGGGGTAGAGAGAGAGGGAGATACAGAATCTGAAGCAGGCTCCAGACTCTGAACTGACAGCACAGAGCCCGATGCAGGGCTCGAACTCATGGACCATGAGATCATGACCTGAGCTGAAGTCAGACACTTAACCGACTGAGCCAGCCGGGCGCCCCAAGATATCAAATATTTAAATTAATAGGCCATCCTTTGAGGCTTGAAATTGTATGTTATAAATATACCACTCCTCCAACCTAGATCTTATTTTTTTTTAACGTTTATTTTTGAGAGAAAAAAGCATGAGTGGGGGAGGAGCAGAAGGAGAGGCAGAGAGAATCCCAAGCAGGCTGCACACTGTCAGTGTGGAGCCTAATGCTGGGCTCGAACCCACAAACCATGAGATCATGACTTGAGCCAAAGTCAAATGTTTAACTGTCTGAGCCACCCAGACACCCCTCCAACCTAGATCTTATTAAGTGGAAAATTGAGTCACTCGATATTGTCCCTGAGATGAAACTTCCAGAGTACCCTAAGTAGAAATTACTCTACATATTTGTCAGTTCACCTCCATGGCACACCCAAGAAAATGAGAGTGTCTCTTTAACTTATTATGGATTAATTACCCTACATTCTTTTGTAGGAGCTCATTTTTACCTTTCTAAACTTGAAGAATAGCTTTAACATTATGCTTTAAAATCTAAACTTCTTCTTATTACAATATTGTTTTTTAAATAACATATATGATGGTTTGTACATAAACCAAGTTATTTAGGACTTCAGATAATCTGTAACTATTACTGTATGTAAATTAAAATTTTTCTTAATGACTATTTATATCACAGCTTATAAAAAGGGTTCCTATTCAGTTGGATTCATCAGTACCTTTCTGAGGGTGCCCTGGTCATGCTTTATTGATGGATACATATATTAAATATCAGTCCTGCTTACGTGTACAAAATATACTTAATTTGGTTGGTAAGTACCTGGAGATAGATAAAAATTTGATCCTTGTGCAGGTTTTCTTTAGACTTAAGTGAGAGATACACTTTCTTCCTTGGCTGTATATTGACTCTTTGGCAATAAGCTTTCTAGTACGTACCTGCCATAAGAAAACAATTTATATAAACCTGTATTATAGCAGTGGAGGATCATTAGATGACCTTTTATTGCAACAATAACAAATTGTTACTGAAAATAATTAGTATTTTCCCAACAATCTGTTTACAGGTTCTCTTTAACTTTTTTTTTTCTCAAATTCTTGACTTTTATTGTCAAGTACACATACAGTCAATTCTAGTATTCTTTGTAGTTGACTCAAAGCAGATGTTTCCATTTTATTTAAAGTTGTCATTTTCTACAGTTCCCAATTTGTTTATCTAGTATTTTTGTTGATGATTTTTCTAATATTTCTTTATAAGTCAGGTATTCTTAATTCAGCTTATTAGTCTAATAGTAGTGTAAGTAGTAGAGATACAGTAAAACCTTTGTTTACAAGCATAATTCATTCTGGAAACATGCTTGTAATGTAAAGCACTTGTATATCGATGTGAATTACAAGAACCATTGGCTCAGTGGTGATCATTTGACATTCGATGTCACATACCACTCCTGTTGCAAGCCATCGCTCATTTATCAAGTTAAAATTTATTAGAAATGTTTGCTTGTCTTGTGGAACACTTGTAGAACAAGTTACTTGCAATCCAAGGTTTTATGGTAATTTCATTTGGGGTGCCTGGCTGGCTCAGTCAACCGAGCACGCAATCAAGAGATCTCAGGGTTGTGAGTTTGAGCCCTGCATTGGATGTAGAGATTACTTAAAAATAGAAAATCTTAAAAAAATTTTTTTTTCATTTAAAAGTATTTTGTATTTGTCTTGGGAATAAATATACTTCAAAAAAATTATTAAAGGGTGCCTGGGTAACTCAGTTGGTTAAGCGTGACATCAGCTCAGGTCATGATCTCGCAGTTAGGGAGTTTGAGCCCTGCATTTGGCTGTGTGCTGACAGCTCAGAGCCTGGAGCCTGCTTTAGATTCTGTGTCTCCCTCTCTCTCTGCCCTTTCCCCCATCCCCTCAAAAATAAACATTAAAAAAAATAAAAAATAAAAAAACATTAAGTAGTACCCTGGTTACAAAAAACACAATTCATGTAACTTTTTCTGTTTCAGAAACCTTTTTCCAAAAAGGACAAAGGAACTCAAATCAGTTGTCCATAGTGCTCCTGGTTGGAAATTATTTGGTAAAGTCCCTCCCAGAGAGAATCTTCAGAAAACTTCCAAAATCATTCAACAGGTAAGTACTAATATTGCCATGTGGTTTGTCTTAGCCTTTCAAGTATTTTTTTCTTGATAATCATATTACATTTCATTCATATTTTCCTACATATAAAATTTGAGGATTATTGGCTATTTGTAGTAACCTTAAATCTTTTTACAAAACATGCACATATTTTCAGTTATGTTTTATGGTACAGTGATTTTTTTTTTTTCCTACTTATTCCTTGGATAGCTTTTTGGTTTTTTGTTTTGTTTTTCTTCTTAGCTAAGCACTCTTACCACATATTCTGACTTCTAATTGAACATTGTGGTGTTTGCCAGTGGCACAGATTTTATGGATATAGGGAGATGTCAATTGATAAAACCATAGAAAGCAAAAACTGAGTAGATTGTGAGGTTGAACTTTGTCTTTGGTCACTTTTCTGGTGTTCTACCTAAACCAAGGACTTTGTGAAATAAGTGGGTGTGTAATCTGTTTCTAGTAACTTAGGAGCCAGTTCTTCTAATAGCTGTACTAATATCCCTATTCTGAAGTTCTTAAGAATTTCAGATCTCAGGCTTCTGGGTGGCTCAGTCACTTAAGCATCCAACTCTTGATCTCAGCTCAGGTCTTGACCTCAGGGTGGTAAGTTCAAACCTGGTGTTGGGCTTCACGCTGGCCATGAAGCCTACTTAAAAAAAATTTTTTTTTTCAGATCTAATTTGTCTCCTGAACTAGTGTTTCATTAGTATTAGGAGATCAGTGAGGCTGGAAAGCAGTGAGACTGGATCAGTTGCAGACATTTTTAAGTTCCTAGAAGTTGTTGCTCAGAAGACAATATGTACGTAATACATTTCCTGTTTCCTCTTTCAGATTCAACACAACAAGTATGTATAAAAATTATTACATTAAGACAATAATCATCATTCAAATTGGAAAAAATATCTTCCATTAAGGATTTAATAGTATTCCTTTTATTGCTCAAAGAAAAACTGGTTTCCCAAGTAATATAAGAAAATAATTTTTAGATCTTTACAAACATTTGTTATAGTTAATTTTATTTACAGTTAAAATACTGACTAGTTTATATAGCTGCTGGGATTTGAAACCGTAGTTTGTGTTTTCCAAGCTGTGAGCCCAAGCACCCCATGTGCTGCAGCTTAGGCACAGCGAAACTGTGGCTGACTCCGTGATTACTCTACATCTGTTGGATACAGTGCAGACTGTTAGCTTGAGATTGTACACAGTTTCAACATTAAATGGCATCATATCTTTGTGAATCTGGTTTTTCTAAGACTGCTGTAATGAAAATCAGATACTGGGCAAAAATCAGTGTTTAACAGGAAATGAGCGTGATCATGTCCAATCTGATTTCAAAGTTTGTGAAATGATACAGTGCACAACAAGCATACATTTCCAATTAGTAATTAATTGTGGTTATTTAAGAATGAAAACCTTTTTTCCTTTAATTTATGTGTATTGTGTTTTCAAATGGCTACAAAGTGTTAGGACATAAATCCTTATTAAATTGTTAGACATACCTAGAATGATTTAAGTATTTCTGTTGGTTTAGGGGGAGCCATGAAAAAATTAATGGTACGCTAAGAGCACTGTTAACCAAGAAAGTTTGGAAATCTTTGCTATCTCGACATCTTAAATTTTAACTTTTTGTAAAGTCTGAAAGTAACTTCTCTTGTCTAGAGTTTTCCAGAAGACCAAGTTCGCCCTCTAGAGGCAAAACAGTGGTCTTGCTATTGAAGGTTTGTATTTTTGACTTTATGGTAGTTTACCTTAAATATGCATGTGCATACTACTTTTATCTTCATGTACGCAAACATTCTGCGATAGGTCTCTAAATAAATTACTGGTTGGATAATTATCTGTTTACTTATATGTTGTATACTTTTAGTCAGCTATTTTCATTTTGGAAAGCTAAGGTGTCATATTCTGTCTTTTTCATATATATTCTGTGAAAATTTGATGAGTGGTTAGGAAAAGAACAACTTTTCATATGGGAAGAGGGAGTCGAGTTGAAATGCAGTTGCTCTCCTCTCTAGTCCTTTGTCTGGCTTTTTACAGATGCTAGCTGCTCCTTTTAACTTTTGACCTTTCCAGCGATGAGTAGGTACTATTGTGTATTTTGGTACCTTTTTAATGATTGGTGGTTTTCTGGGAGGTATGGTGGGTCATGAAGTCTTTGTTCTTCATAATAAGAAAAATATGTGTCCACCCTCAAAATATGTGTCTCCCATGTGATTGAACCTGTTTCTGCCTCTCCCTTTTTGCTTTCTCTTTCTCTCTTTCTCTGTATGTCCTTTACTCCCCATCTGTCTGAGTTTGCTGTCCTCTTCCCTGCAGTTGTCGTTTTCAAGGTGGGCATGATTTTCTTTATTGGTAACAGCACATTTATAACTTTGTGTCTCTGTTCCTGCTTGAAAACGTGTTTCCTCAGCCGTGACTTTTAAACTCTGTAAAACATGAATATAAAAATATATTTGAGACCCTTTACCATGTACTCCTTTTGAATGGATATTATATGTTTGGAGCCAGAAATCAAAAATGAAGATATCAGTAAAGCCATGAAAAATGTTAGGACACATCTTTCATGTTTTAAGGTAGGGCCTTATGCTATTCAGGCTGTAGAAAATGAAGGTAGCTAGTAATTGCAGTGTAAAAGTGCCTGAAAAAGTGAGTCAATGCTAAAAATTCAAAGGAAAAATACATTCCTTTGGGCTTTTTAAGCATTCCTTACTTGCTTTTTGAATGTGGCAAAATAGTAAGATTTATTGGGAGATTAAAATAGTAGTATTTCATAGTATATATATTTTTTAAAGCAGATATTCAGAAGGGAGTTGCTGTATTCTTGAGTATGAATGTTATTGGGCCAGAATTTTCTTTCTGGTAGAAAGACATCTATAAGATTATAAAGAAACTATATAGAAAAAGTAAAGGTTTGATTTACAAAGTTTTTTTCTTCCTTAATAATTATACATGATTACATTCTTTATAAAACATAAATCATTATAGGAAGATATGTTTCATTTCCCTTCACATTTTTAGGCCTTTTAAAATTCTTTTTTTGTATGGAAGCACATATAATTATTTTTGTGTGTATATATTTATATATATATATGGTGTTATATATATTTTTATAACTCATTCCAAGAATAGAATGTCACTATATATATAATTTTTTTTGCCTTATTTAACTTCATATGTTTTGCACCTACAGCTTTTTAGAGATACATGAACTTCATAAGTGAAAGATATTTGTAGATTAAGTATTTTTTTTAAATTTTATTCTTCTAGTAAATTTATTAAAGGTCTAATCAATTTTAGTGCTTTTACTGTTAACATAAAGCAACATAAAAATCATTTTAGGATACTAGCAAAGTCAAACTGACCCAAGTTTGGCATTTAACTTGAATCAATTCCCAAATCACATGAATATTCATAATATTATTTTATGAGGATTATCACATGTGTTCTCTTGTAGGTGTGAAATTCCTGCTTGTGGCCTTTTGAACCTGTTGGTGAGCCATGTTAAAAATTGCATCTATTAATTATAAATAGTATTTCAGTTATATTGTAATTCAATTGACCTGTTTTTGGTTTTCCTAAATTAATAGGCCAAAGTTGGAATATAGCTACATAGCTTGTCTTATGACCTCCAAACTGCAAGTAAGAATGATTACAAATGAGCCATGTTATGTATAATTGTAACATGATTGCATAGTAAATTGAATATACCCCATTTATGTCAAACTGACAGTATTTTAGTAGAAAGTGACCTTTTGTTGCTAGACACTTTTATATTGGCATCTTTAAGGAGAAAATAAGATTGTAGTATTTAGATGATGATTCTAGTTTTTCATCACTCATGTCTTTTTCTGAGTGAAGTTTTAGTTGGATGGTTGAATCACTTTTATATAACTTTTGACAGGTCAGGGAAAAAGGTTTTAAGACACTAACGAATTTCTTAATCTGAGCATCTGAAAGTCTAAAAGAATAGGTTACTCTCCTCAGTTCAACCTTTGCCTTTGAAACGTTTTACTGCAGGAACAATAACATTATGGAAAGGACTAGAATATGTGAGCTTTGTGAGCAGTACTTAAATATATAACATTGTGAAAGTGTTAGAGCTTAATATTCTGGTTAATAATTTTATTGGTGTGTATAACATTAGAATATTTGAAAACAATTTGTTGGCTTTAATTATGCTTAAACATAGATACCTTTGGTGTATAATTTGAGTAGTTCATAAAGTACCTATCTCCTTTGTGGTTAAATTGTAGAGGAACTGGACTATATGCAGAATTTATTTTTGAAAAATCCTTGAAATTGTTACACCCTTGTGTTTTATTTTCACCTTTATTTACCTAATGTAATGTCACCTTGAGAAGGTAGTGAATAACTACCTTTCCAGCTGCATGTATTATTTTATAGTTAATGATAAATTATTAGGTCTTTTTTATGTATGAATAAATTGATTTTATAAAAGCTAATTTGTATGGTCTGAAAATTGAGAGAGGAATTCATAATAGCTCAGCCTCTGCTTCTTGGAGAGGAGAAAAGCATAAGCCCTAAGAGAGAAGCTTATGTTAGTTAAAGAAAATTAAAAGAATAAAAGCAGTAAGTTCTCACAAATTGAATAGGGTAGGATTTGGGGAAAATTTTTTTTCTATTATCAGAGAAATAGACTTGGGAAGAGGTTACAGTCTGTAAATACTGACTACCTGTTATTTGATTCCGTAAATACAGTTTGAATATCAAAGTTATATTAAAAGTTATACTCATTCTGTCTTTATGTCAGAATTGTATATTATGTTAGGCATCAAATTAGACTAAACAAAATTGTGCTAATAACTACCAAAATAAAGTTTACTGAGGCATTCCTGTATGCAAAAGGGCAATGAAATGTATTACCCCAAGGTTTCATTTAAGCTTGAATTATGGGGCAGATTTTATTTCTGCTAATTCACAGCTTCTGGAATAAAATTTAGAATCAGCCAAAACATCATAATTGGCTTTATCCT